TGCAGCGGTTTAGCGCCGCCTGCAGCCCGGGGTGTGATCCTGGAGACCCTGGATCGAGTCCCACTTCGGCTCCCTGCATGGAGCCTGTTTCTCCCTCTGCCTGTGTCTCTGCCTCTCTCTCGCTCTCTCTGAATGAATAAATAAATAAATCTTTAAAAAAATAAAATAAAAGACTAAACAAATTTTAAAAAAAGATTAAAAAAAAAGAGTAAAGGAAGTAGATCTTAAGATCATCTCAGTAGATGCAGGGAAATCATTTGACAAAGTCTACAGCAGCCATTCATGCTAAGAATTTAGAATACTAGGAATAGAAGTGAACTTCCTCAACTTGACAAAGCACATTTATGAAAAATCAGCAGTTTATATCATTCTTAGTGATGAAACCATTAAGATTGAGTGCTTTCTACCTAAAATCAGGAACAAGGTAAAGATTTGTGCTCTCATCATTTATGTTCAGCCTTGTACTGAAGGTCAGTGAAATAAAGGGCATACATATGGGAAAGGAAAAAATCAAACTGTCTTTATACCCAGAAATTGTGATCCTGAGTGAATTCTAATAAGTGAATTTAGAGAGGTTACAGTATTTAAGATCAATACACAAAATCAACTGTATTTCTATAGTAGCAATAGCTAATCAAAATGAAATTTATAAAAATAATAATAGTTTAGAAGGTCAAATAAGGGAATAATAAGTCAAAATAAGGAATAAATTTAACAAAAGACACAGGACCTACTTACAGAGAGCTGTTTAATGTTGCTGAAAGTGTCAGGAATACCTAAGAAAATAAAGGGGCATGTCATTGCTATTTGAAGGATAATATTATTAAGAGGGAGTTTTTCCTATATTTTCTACAAATTTAGTGCAGTCCCAATCAAGCTCCCAGAAAGATTTAAAAAAAAAAAAAACTTTTTTTTTTTTGAAATTAACATTTATTTTTGAATTAATATATAAGTGGAAATGGAAGGAGCCTGGAATTTAAAAAAAAATGTTTTTAAAAAAGGAAGAACAGAATTGGAGGACTTGCATTACCTGATTTAAGACTTTAGTGGTGTAGTAATCAGGACAGTGTGGTATGGCATGAGTATGGATGTGTGTAGATCAAACATGGGGAGTTAAAAAAAATAGACCCAAGCCTAAGGGACAATTGCTTTTTGGCAAAGCTGCCAAGGTTATATGGGGAAAGAATACTTTTCAATGAATGTTTCTGAAATAACTGGATATCCCTTTCCTCACATCAAACACAAATATTAATTAAAAATGGATTACAAATCTAATTGTAAGGGCTAAAGCCATGAAATTCTAGAAGAAAATTTTCTGGAAGAGCATCTTTCTGGCTCTGAATTAGGCAAAGATTTCTTAGGACACAAAAAGCATGAGCCATAGAAGAAATTGCTACATTGAGCTATTAAAATTAAAAACTTGCTTATGGGAAAACACCACTAAGAAAATAAAAAGACAAGCCTCAGTTTGGTGGAGAATATTTGCTACATATATATTGATAAAAGACATATCCAGAATATACAAAGAACTCTATAATTCAGGAAGAGACTATTTTTAAAAAGGGGCAAAAGAACTGAACAGGCAGTTTACAAAATAAGATCTACATTTGGCCATTAAGCACTAGAAATGATGCTCAACATCTTGGTCATTAGGTAAATGCAAATCAACAAGGACAGACTTTGGTTAGAAGACAAAGAGGAGGATCCCTGGGTGGCTCAGCAGTTTGGCACCTGCCTTTGGCCCAGGGCATGATCCTGGGGTCCTGGGATCGAGTCCCACGTCAGGCTCCCTGCATGAAGCCTGCTTCTCCCTCTGCCTGTGTCTCTGCCTCTCTGTGTCTTTCATGAATAAATAAAATCTTTAAAAAAAAAAGAAGAAAAAGGAAAATGTTAGGTCAAAGGAAGATTTAATTTGGGGATAGAATTGGCCTGAAAATTCAAATCTGCATCATTACTAAACCCAATCTATCAATTTTTTTCTGGTTTCATATTCTAACTGTAAACACACTATATATTGTTTTTCAGTACTCCATCAGAACCTTCTCTTCAGTATGTTTTAATGCAGACCTATTTCTATTTTCTTCTTAAGCCCTGATCTTTCACACTCATTGAACGTCACTATGAGATCAGACCCAAGATGATGAAGTCATTTATTTATTCTTTCAGCAAACATTTGCCCTTTTGTACTCCTTACTAATTAACCTACCTGCATCTAGACAGAGATATTAGGTAGGGTATTGGAGATCATTGATGAGAGAGGTTGTGACTGGAGATAAAAATCGGCAATTATCTGTAGATAAATGGTTTTTAAAGCCATGTATCTGGATGAGATCACTTAGGTGTGATTAATAGAAAGAGGTCAGATGACTGAGCTCTAAGGTAGTTTAATCTTTGTAAGTCACCTAGGGGAGGGTGGGTCAACCAACAAATTGAGTGGAACAGCTAGTAAGAGTAGTGTTTCAGAGAACAAGTCTGGATATTTTAAGAAAAGAAGAGATATATATACTCTGAACTGCTCTTGATAGGTCAAGTCAGAGGAGCATTGAGAAATGATTATTAGATTTATCGTGAAGGTCATTGGTGACCTTGACACTATTATTTTCAGTGGATGATAACCTTAGTGAAGTAGATTTAGGAGAAAATGGAAAGAGGAAGTAGAGAGAGAGAAAGACTAGACAGCTGTTTTGAGAACTAATACTCTTAAGGGAAGTATTGGCCTCCTGAAGACATTATGAAGTTGTAGATGTGTTTTAAGTTGGGAGATTTTATTGCAAGTTTGTAAGCTGTTGATAGTGTTTTAGAAAAGCATGTCTAAGAAAATTGACAGTGTAATAGAAGGGAGGGGTGGGATCTAGTGCACAAATGAAGATGATTGGCTTTGCTAAGAGCACAGACTCTTCATTCACAGTGACAGAAAGGAAGAAGGCATTGTGGTTATAGATTTTGGTTAGTCAACATAATTCTTGAGCTCTCACTTTGTAGAAGGCACTATTCTTAAGGAACAACATTTAGTAGAGACATGAGTGCCTGTTTTTTGTACACCACTATCAGCATTTACTGTTTATATGATACTATTTTTCATACTGTTTAATACTAGTTACATCAGAATGTGATACTAAAAAAAGTAGCATTTTATAGTAGTTGTTCCATCTGCACATCCCTTTTCTTCCCATCAATGACAATTAGATTGTAAGCTCCTTGTGGATAATTGCTTTCATTTACAGTGAAGTGCTCCTGAGCCATACTGAACAACTCCTCAGATGATCCTTAAAATATGCTGAAGATATACCATACTCTCTACGTAATGATATCTTCACGTTGACTTATCATGGGAAGAATTATTGGATACACTGAAGAGTGGTGTGTCTTTAGTAGCATATTCCTTATTATATTTCTTACTCTTCAAATAATTCGTATTTTCTATGTACAAAATTGAAAAATTTTCAAGTTAAGCTACGTTGTCACGAAATCTTAAAAACTTATATTTTGTGTATTAAATTTGAATTAATGACTGAAATTTGGGAGGTACAGTTTATTTTTGAAGTCTTCTCTGTGATCCTTTGAAAATTCTTAATTTTTACCTTGACTTAATTTTTCTTCTTTCTATATTCAGTTATACTTCTTTTTCTACCATAGTGGAGGACAGTTTTGCATGTTTATTTATAATTACAATTTATATTACTCCAACAGAGCAGCCCACTGCTATGTTCTAATTCTTAGCCATTAAGTCCTACAAAAGTAAACCTAAGCTTTTACAGTAACTGAATCAATACAGAACTAAAACCTTTATAGCTATGTAAAGGGGCTTAGTTACCAAGGTGCTTATGTTCAACATGATGCCCTCTCTGGCAGAAGGGTGCATGCTTACACTAAAGGTCTGACCCATTTACTCATGCAACAAATTTATATTCCCCACCCTCCCTCCACCCACTGTAAAACAAAAACACAGCTATTTACAGTTGAGAAGAAAAAGGATCTTGGTTAACCAACTTTGCAAAAAAGACTGGCTCATTTCCAAGTGGATGAGACACTGAACATTGGCCAGAGTCCATTAGAATCCTATAAATTGAGTTTCAATTCTTAACTCTTTATTCATTCCAGTTTCTGTAGCCATTTGTGCAATAATGAGCTGCTTCTGGACTGTCAGTCACTATGATTATTATTTCTACTGCTAAATCTTGTGACTTTTCTAGTTTGTTTCTCTTTTTTATGGTAAGAAAGGTCAGGTGAGTTTCACATTAAAGTAGGTAAAAAACTTCTTAAAAGATTTCAAGACTACTGTTTGCTTTTATCACAGAAAAATTTTTTTTATCACAGAAAATCTTAAAGATTTTATTTTAATTTGTCCTAATGTTTCTCAAGTGCAATAAGTGTCATCTTTGCATATACTTATTTATTGGTTATCTATTAGTGTGCAAGAACATTACCACAAATTTAGTGGCTTAAAACAACACACATGTAATATCTCATGGTTTCTGTATGTTAGGAATGTGTATATAGCTAAGCTGAGCCCTCTGCTTCAGTGTCTCATAAAGCTTCTATCAAGATATCATTCAGAACTTGTGGTTTCATCTGAGATTTGACTGGGGAAGGGTCCTCTTCTGGACTCATTTGGCTTTTTGGCAGGATTCAGTTCTTTGCAGATTGCTAGAACTTTTTCATGTGTCAGCTTAAAACATTGCAGCTGCTGCTTTAAAACTAGTAGGGAAGAGAGTGTTCTCCAAGATGGGCATTATGGTTTTATGTAATGTAATCATGTACATATAAGCATCTTGTCACTTGGTTAGAAGCAAGGTGTAGCTCCTATCCACACTCAGGGGGTGGGAGGGGATCACGAAAGAGCATGAAAACCAGGAAATGGGCTTCAAGGGGGCCACTCTAAAGTCTGTCTGCCACAACTTGTTTGCTATGTCTTAATATGGAATGAATGTTTCTCTTATTCAGTAATTTTTGTTACTTATATATAGTGATAACTTTGGGTTTTTAATTTTTCTAACCAGATTCTATTGGCCGTGACATCCCCAAAATGCTTGAATTATTTAAAACTGGACATGAAATTAAGGTAGATGAAGAAAGGGAGAACTTTCTCGAGACCAAAATAGCAACAGTAAGTTATAGTAGAAATTATTAAATAACCATCTTTTCTTTTTTCGCTTAAGTGCCTGATAATTTATAATACAATATGCCAGTCCTTTGAACTTGTTCTTGGTTCTAGCATCAGGAATAGCACTAATATACAGTTAGATAATTTTTTTCTGTTCTGTAGATTGAACTCCTAAATATTAATGGTTTTTAAGAATTCCTTCATGTGCCACTCAATGATAATGTCCTTTATCTTATTTGATTATTCTATGTATGTATTTTTTGCTCTCTGATATTCTAAGGTTATTGAGAGTAGGAATGTATATCCCTGTGGAACGTCGCATAATGCTCAGCCCATAGTAGGTATTAAATACTACAACAATGGAATTGAGTAATTTGCTTTATTTTTATGAATTATTTTGATTATCCCTGTTTGTATTTTAAAACTGCCTACTCATAGAAGAGACTGGAAATCAACTTCCAAAGCTATTTTTTGGACTCTGTTATAGATATATCAGGTTTATAGGACTATGTTTGTAGATATATAGTTATTTGCTAATACCTTCTTTATGCTAAAAAATCTTCAGAGTATTTTTTTCCTGTTTAGTAACTAACCATAGGAATAATAGTGATATTGATAATAAAATTTAAACAGTACCTAGCAAGTGCCAGGCACTATTCTAAACACTCTTCATACATTCCCTTTCTTAATCTTCAACACTATGAGAGGACAAATTATCATCACTATTTAATGGATGAAGGCATAGAAGCCCAAAGAGTTTAAATAATTTTTCTAAGGTCTCACAGCCAATATGAGGCAGAATAGGTATTTAAATATTGGCAGTCTTTTCAAGAGTCCAGGCTCTTTGCTCCAAACCATCTTCCCTCATGCCTGGAATTATTTGAATAGCTTGCTATTCCTCTTTCCATCCAGCTCTTAAGAGGAATTCTGCATTATAGCTAGTGGCTAATAGTCCAAGCTAATTGAGCTATGCCCAATATAGTTCATCAGAAGTAGGGAAAAGGCACTCAGCTAGTTTTATAGAATGAAAACTTGCTTTATTTTTTTTAAAGATTATATTTATTTATTCATGAGAGATACAGAGAGAGGCAGAGACACAGAGGGAGAAGCAGGCTCTCTGCAGGAAACCCGATATGGGACTTGATCCCGGGTCTCCAGGATCACACCCTGGGCCAAAGGCACGTGCTAAACCACTAAGCCACCCAGGGATCCCCATAAAACTTGCTTTTTTTTTTTTTTTTTAAGATTTTATTTATTTATTCATGAGAGACACACAGACACAGGCAGAGGGAGAAAACAGGCTCCATGCAGGGAGCCCGACATGGGACTTGATCCTGGGTCTCCAGGATTACACCATGGGCTGAAGGCGGCACTAAACTGCTGAACCACCTGGGCTGCCCCAAAACTTGCTTTAGAAAAGGGCAGAATAATTTAATCTAGTCAGGGATTGGGAAATCCCTCATTGTCATTGCATTAGAGCTCAGCACCAATTGTGTGGTATCGTGTTCTCCTAGAATCTGATGTTGTACTTTCCTTATTTCCAGGAGGCCCTTGGCAGTGTTTCTTGTTTGTTAGGGATGACAACATTGTAATGGGAAAAGCAAACGAAAAAAAAATGGAAATTTTAAGAAAATATTCTAGAGTTGTAGAGACTTAGGTTTGAATACCTGTTCTATTACTTACGGGATGGCAGACTGTAAAAAACAAGTTTCTTAATGTTTGTCTTGAATTCCTGAGCTGTAGAATTTATGTAGTAATATTTATTTCACAATGTAGTTTTGAAGGTTAAATAAAAATATGAAATGGAAACAGCAGTTGTTACTGTTTTTTTGTTTTTAGAGATTTATTTTATTTCAGAGATAGAGTGTGTGGAGGGAGGAGCAGAGGGAGAGAATCTTTAAGCAGACTCTTGCCGAGCGGGGAGCCCTATATGCAGGGCTTGATCCTACAACCCATGAGATTATGACTTGAGCCAAAACCAAGTTGGATGCTCAACCAGCCACCCAGGTGCCCTGTTGTTACTGTTTTAGTTGGACTCTTGGGGACTATCGGATGTCTTTTTAAGGCTATTTCTTTCCAGCTGGATCTTTTCTTTTTGTTATGTTTTCAGTATATTTTTTTAATGGATCCTGACTCAGTGTATAAGAAACCATGGCATCTCATTTATTCTTTTTAACAGATGCCATAGTGATTAAGTGATTACATGAGCTCCAGTTCAGATTACTTGTATCATTTAGAGGTAGGATGCTTTTTCTTAATGAAAAATGAATGAACTTCTGTGTTTAAAGCAGCTTTTTTTGAATACTACTTAAATATTATAGTATTGTATAATAAGCAGGTTAAGAGAATGGGTTTTAGATCCATACTATCTGGATTCTAATCCTAGTTCCAGATTAGAATTGTGTTACTTTGCTCTCTGAACCTTAGTTTTCCCCATTCCTCCTAAATGTGAAATGAAGTTAATAATGATAATTACTTTCTAGGTTAGGAAGGAGTAGGTGAAATAATGAATATAAAGCAGACTTCTATTTCTGGCTAACATGAAGTAACAGGAACCTGATTTACTCTCTCACCTGAAACAGTCAGCATTACCGTGATACCAAAAACCAGGCAAAGAAACTAATAGTTTAGTATCATTTATGAAAAATAGGTGTTAAAATTATAAACTAAATTTTATCTGATAGAATGCAGCAATATATGAAAAGGATAAGATCACCAAGTAGGATTTATCCTAGGAATGCTAAGTTAGTGTAACATTCAATGATCAATTATTAAAATTCACCATATTAACAAATTATAAAAGAAAAGCCATCTGATCATCTCAGTAGATATAGAGAAAACATTTAATATAATCCAACATTTATTCCTGATTAAAAAGTCTTAGCAAACTAGGACCAGAAGTTAATGTCCTCAACCTGATAAATGGCATCTAAGAAAAACCAGTAGTTAACATACTTAGAAGTAAAAGACTGAATACTTTCCTTCTAAGACCAGAAACAAGTTAAGGATATTCGCTCTCACCACTTCTGTTCTCCATTGATCTAGGGATTCTAGGCAGTGCAATCAGGCAAAAAAAGGAAGCATCCTGATTAGAAAGGAAAAAATAAAATAGTTGTTATTCACAGATGGTATGATCTAGCTACAAAAACAAGTAAATTAAGTAAGGTTGCAGGATACAAGTATACAAAAACCAGTTTTGCTTCTGTATAGCAGCAATAATTAGAAATTAAAATTCTTAAAAGTTTTAAATAATAATTTATAGTAATATAAAAAAAATAGGAAATACTTAGAGATAAATCTGACAAAAGATATGAAAGATCCATACACTGAAAATTTCAAAATATACTTGAGGGAAATTAAAGATCTAATAAATGATGAGGTATATGATGTTTATGGATCAGTAAATCCAGTATTTTAAAGATGTCAGTTGTCCCCAAAGTAATGTATAGATTCAGCATATTCATGATCAAAATCCCACTTAGCCTTTTTTATTTTGTAGAAACCGGCAAGCTGATAATAAAATATGGAAATACAAAAGATCTAGAATAACTAAAACAACTTTGACAAATAGCAAAATTAAAGGTCTGATTTCAAGATTTATAAAGCTACAGTATTTAAGACAGTGTGGAATTGACACCAAAGAAGACAAAATGATATGGAATAGAATAGAGTCCCCAAAAAACAAAACAAAACATATATGGACAACTGATTTAGAACAAGTTGCAAAGTCATTTTTAATGGAGAAACATTAGTCTTTTCAAGAAATGATACCAGAACAGTTGAATATCTATCTACAGTAAAATGAACTTTGACCCATAACTTTATACCATATATAATTAACTCAAAATGTATCAAAGATGTAAATATAAAGCCTAAAATTATAAAATTTCTGGAAGAAAAAGTTGAGTTAGGGAATGATTTTTTTTTAGATGTGAATGTAAAGCATAGTCATGATCCACAAAAGAAGAAATTGATAAATTTCACTGTATTAAAAAGTAAAAGCTATTTTAGCTTTCTATTTTCTATTTATTTATTTTTAAATATTTTATTCATTTATTCATGATAGACACAGAGAGAGAGGCACGCAGAGACACAGGCAGAGGGAGAAGCAGGCTCCATGCAGGAAGCCCGACACAGGACTCGATCCCGGGTCTCCAGGATCACACCCTGGGCCAAAGGCGGTGCTAAACTGCTGAGCCACCCGGGCTGCCCAACATTTTCTCTTTAAAAGACACTGTTAAGAGAAGGAGAAGATAAATCACAGACTGGGTTAAAATATTGATAAATCATATAACTGTTATCAATAATATCCATAATATATAAAGAGCTTCCAAAGCTCGATAATAAAACAACCCAGTTTTAAAAACCAGCAAAAGATTGGAACATACCTCATCAAAATGTAACAAACACATGGCATAGAGATGAGAAACAATTTGAAAGATGCTCAACATTATTAGTTGTTATAGAAATACAAATTAAAACTACAAATTAAAACCACAGTGAGATATCACTATACATCTATTGGAATGCTTAAATTAAAAAGATTGACCAAAAAAAAAAAAAAAAAAGAAAAAAAGATTGACCATAGCAAGGACTGGTAAAGATATGGAGAGACTGGAACACTTACACTACTTTGGCAGTGTAAAATGATATATCCTCTTTGGCAAACAGTTTGACAGCTTAAGAAATTTAACATCCAAGAGTGCCAGGCTGGCTCAGTCAGTTGGGTGGCTGACTCTTGATTTTGGCTCAGGTCATGATCTCAGCGCCCTAGGATTGAGCCATGCATTGGGCTCCACACTCAGTGGGAAGTCTGTTTCAGGATTCTCTCTCTCTCTCTCTCTCTCTCTCTTTCTGCCCCTCCCCCTACTTGCTCTCTCTCTCTAAAATAAATAAATACATCTTTTAATAAAAGGAAATTTAACATCCACTTGCTAGATGATATACCATTCCACTTTTAGATATTTATCCAGGAGAAATGGAAACATATGTCCATACAAAGA